CACACACAGAGACGACCGTGAGAAACCCTACCTCCGGCCATCTCAAGCTCTCCTTCATCTACACATGCTTCACTCGTAAGTATATTACTACGAGATCATATTTTTTTTGATTATCCAGCAATATTTTATGTTTATCCATTAGATCTGAACTTGTTATCCATGCCTTGTTGCGTTTGATATGTGGTTGCGTTCGCATATGGTTTCTTATTCATGCTTTATTGATTATCCATAATTTTGTTACTGATTATCACTAGATCTGAACTGATTATCTATGTTTTCCTGTGTATGCTATGTGATGGTTGTCCATACCATAACTGCTGGTTATCCACCCATTTCATAATGGTTATCCACAAGTTGTAAACTGGTTATCCAGAAGGTGTAAACTGGTTATCCACAAGTTGTAAACTGGTTATCCAGAAGGTGTAAACTGGTTATCTACAAGTTGTAAACTAGTTATCCATGATTTTTTTACATTTGATTCTATGTGGCCTGGACAAACTGAACTGATTATCTATGTTTTTGTATTTTTTTGTTACTGATTATCCACTATATCTGAACTGGTTATCCATATTTTCCTGCGTGTGTGCTATGGGGTGCTTGTCCAAACTTTGTTTGTGGTTATCCACCCATTTTATACTAGTAATCCGCAGGGTGTAAACTGGAAAAAGAAAGTAGTCAAAGACCCAACTATCCCACATTTTGGCCTGGGTATCTTCTCCAGTCAGGAAGGCAATTACGAGACAACCCAGGAGAAGAACACTGAGGAAGACAAAACATATTTTTTTTTATGGACAATTATTATCTCGATGGATAGTTAATGAAAAGAGACTGAATAGCTCATTCGTGCAAAAAACTAGGACCATCAAACTACCTCTGAGACTACCTTTGAAAACAGCATAAATCCGTCAAACTACCTCCGAGACTAACACTGAAAACAGCAACAATCCGTCAAACTACCTCTGAGACTACAAAAAAGGCTATCCATTGGTTTTCTCTTGCTAATCCAAAATCTCGCCAATTATCCATTGGTTTTATAGTGTTTATCCAACGCATTGTAGCATTCTCTTTTCAGTCAAAAATGCATTTAACTACAGTAAAAAAGTAACACGTTTTTTAAAATGGAATACAATGAATAAATAATCTAATCACCAGTTTCGCAACCCCTCGCCGATTATCACCGCCGGCAGGAGAGTCTGTTAATTAAAGAAGCAAACGGCATGTTAATTTGGGGACTTCACCCCCCCATGATAAACTAAACAACTCCTGCGGTTACCGGAATCGCAGGTCACTAACCTGCCCCTGCTGCGCCACCCCGCCGAACACGCCAATGTAGCTAAGGTAATCATTTTTTCGTGTGTGTGTAAGGAGAGTGTGTGTGTAAGGAGAGTGTGTTATTGCGTTAAGAGGGGACACAAATTACTTCTATAAATCCCCCGTGATAACTAACGACCCGGCTGCGCCGGTGCCCGCGGCTTCGCCGCCCCCCCTGCCGAACACGGTAAATTTCATAAATAATATTTAATTGAATGAGGGGCATTTTGCCAAATGATGGAGAACAAAAAATGAATGAGGGGCAGTTTGCCAAATGATAGAAATAAAGTACGTTCAATTGTATATAACTAACTATCCATATTGTCAATATTGGTTATCCAACTGTGTATAACTAATTATCCATAGTGCCAACACTGGTTATCCACATTGTGAACACTGGTTGTCCATAGTGTAGCTGGTTAGTGTGTATAACTGAAAAGCCACATGTTTTGTAATTAAATAAAAATAGAATTTAAATACTTGTATAAATCCCCCGTGATAAACGACCCGCCTGCGCCGGTGCCCGCGGCTGCGCCGCCCCCATGCCGAACATGGCAAATTTCATAAATAGTATTTAATTGAATGAGGGGCAGTTTGCCAAATGATGGAGAACAAAAAATGAATGAGGGGCAGCTGGATAACCAGTGTAAAAATACGGACAAGAATATCCAAAAAAAATATAAAAGGAAAAAAATGACAGTCCACGTTGTCAACACTGATTATCCAACAGGTTAATAATGGTTATCCAGTCATTTTCTAATGACTTTCAAACTGGTTTGCACTGATTATCCAAAATGGTCTCAACTGCTTATCCTAATATTTGACACTACTTGTGATATTTAATATAATTTACTTGCCCAATGTGTTAGTACTGATTATCCAACCGGTTTGTAATGCTTATTGAATTTTTACTTTGTTTTTATTCTTTATGAAAAATACTTGTCCATAGTGTCAACACTGGTTATCTAGCTGTATTTAACTGGTTATCCATAGTGTGCACACTGGATATCCAATGATATTATTTGTGAAGAAAGCGTGTTCAACATGTTCATGTCTTTTTTGTAATATCTATATGCATTTAAAGTTGCATATCTGGTACAAGTGAGTTGGATGTCCAGTACAGGCGAGTTGGATATCCAGCACAAACAAGTTGGATATGCATACAAACCCGTTGGATTACAACTACAAAACAAGTTGGATAGGTATACAAACCCAATGGATGGATATCCAGTGCAAGCGAGTTGGATATCCAGGACAAACAAGTTGGATATGCATACAAACCCGTTGGATTACAACTACAAAACAAGTTGGATAGGTTTACAAACCCAATGGGTGGATATCCAGTACAAACAAGTTGGATAACCAGTTCAAACTGGTTGGATAACCAGTATAAACACAGTGAATAACCAATTTAAAATAACCACTTGGTTATCTATCTTGTAAAACTGAATATCCACCTTCATTCTGTCCATCGGAATTTAATCATTTTTAAGCTCGAAAAAAATATTCACTATGGATCTCGTTGGATAGATCTCGACGAGTACAAAACAGTTGGATAAGCAGTACAAACAAAATGGATAACCAGTTCAAACTGGTTGGATAATACTGTAATTTAAAATAAATAATAATTTTTAAATAAAAATCTTTACACCATCAATACTGTTCATTTCAACATCAAGTAAAAATACTTGTTCATCAAGCCAAAATCTTCAACGAGATAACTCACCACTCGATCTAAACTCAGCATATCGTCGATGCAATCATCGTTTCGCCACTCTGGTGGAATCGGAGCCTTTCTTCGATCGCTGAACGCCGTCGCCGTCTCAACGACTCGATCGCCGGCCGTGTCCACCTCAACGCCTCGATCGCCGCCGGCCGTCGCCGAACAATAATACTCTATCATAAAATTTTCAAAATTTGAATGAATTCGGTAATTTATATATGTTGCGTTTAAAAAAAAAGAAAAAGAAAGCTGAATTATCTAGCGGATGCACGCTATTCTAAAAGAGTAAAGTACACGTGCAGAGGGTACATGGTGCCCCAAGGTGTACCAGATAATTTGCCCTGATAGGTGCTTACGAATCATCAACGTCAGTTTAAGTAGAACATAGTATCGTTGCAAAATTTATCAAATATAGTCCCAAATTCAAAGTGATCACAAAGAAAAAGGTGGCAAATCATGAAAACCACACGATATAAATATAAGAGAAAATTGTTATTCACAAACATGACTGGGGCGGTTGTCGATTGCTTCTAAGTCCGAAAGACCAAGACCGCATCGATCATAAATCTTTGCATTCTAGAATTTTTCTTTTCAGCAATAGTAATTGTAATGAAGTTTTTTTTTTCTTTCAAAAAAAGAATGAAAATTTTACTGAACCCAAAAAATAAGTTGAAATAATTTCATTGTCTTGTTAGTTCTTTCCCCACTTTATTATTATTGTTCTTTCTAATTTTTATATTGTTATACACATCAAAAAATCTCACTTAATTCACTCCATCCTAAATTGAGATTTGATTTTAGGCCTTTAGAATCGACTTAAAAAATCCTACTATCAAATAACATTCTCAATTTTCATTTGTGGCTTTTGATTGGTACGCAAAAAAAAAAAATAAATAAATAAAAAAATCCGATTATAAGAACTCGCGAAGGATGCCTTTAATTATTTATTTTGAATTTTGCGTTTTGCTTCGTCAATCAATTGATGTCTTGGATTAAACTAAACTCAATTAAACAATTTTCCTTGTCATTTTCATGGACTATAAAAAACCAAACCAACCCTTTTATTCTCAATATTCTCTTGTTCCTTTAATTTGCTTAATCACAAATTAGGTTAATTTGGTCCCCTCTTCATATACCTGTCATATAATAAATCACTATCATCATCTCCCTACCATTTATGCATGGAGAAATTTGAAGTTCATGGAAAGAAAGGCATCCCAATTGTACCAATTTGGGATGTACACGTATAAATTGATAAACTGAAAACTCTTTGAGCATGTTCCAAAACTTTCATTTCTGACTCCATAAACTTGCCAATGCCCACAAATTCTTGACTATTTAAGTATGTACAATTCACCACTTTGATGATACATGTGTACTTATGCTTGGTTTAAATTTGTCTGCTTAAATGCTCCTTTTGTCTAATTAAATTGTATTATTATAAATTAAAAAAAAAGTAGATATAAATGCTCTTAAATGGATGTATTCAGTGCTCTATATATTTGTTGTAATGTGAACAATAAGCTTTGTACGAATTTACCTGTAGTCTTATATGTAACTCTCGTCCAGGATATGCAAATCTTATCATAGTTAAAAAATAAAAAAAATACAAAATCAAACCCCTTACTTCTTATGGTGAACTCATTACATTTATAAATTCAACCAGAAATTAATGAAAGGGACAGGCCAATAATTTACTTCCATAAAAAAAGGCAAAAATTATAAAGCGAATGCACAATAGAGACAAACACGAGAAATATTGGGGGAAAAGGAGGCTCCATATGACCCCCACCCATCTAGAAAGTCTTGACTTTTTTCTTTTTTTTTTTTAATTTTTGTTGAAGCAAATGAAACGAGCCGCAAAAGAAATAAAAACTTTAAAAAGACAATTAAAAAAAAATTAATATTTTGATATTATCAAAAAGAAAATGTTTAAATAAAAAGGAAAGAGACAAAGGACCAAATGGCCTCATCGATGACAATAGAACTCTTACACTGAACAAAAAGAAAGAAAAAAAAGAAAAACGAATTATTTTCCCCAAATTTTTGTCATTTCCTTTCCTTCTCCAAACTGAAGTTTCTACCTTCAAGAAAAACCATGCTAGAACCACGAAATGAATCTGAATCCGAACAGAGTAACATATTTGATCCCTTCAAATCTATACATGATGAAAAGGGTTATCAGAGTTTAGTCAATTCCGGTGCCGGAGCAAGAATTACGGCCGATTGGAACATAAATAGTGACGGTGGAGTTCAATTTATGCCTCTGCGAAATTCTTCAGAAGATGATGAAACAGGGGAAATTCACTCACCACCACTTTGGCAGAGCAGCCCACCTCACCGGAGCAGCAGCCAATACCAGAATTACAACAATTTCCGGTCTTTATCTCCGGCATCAAGAACACAAGCCATAGTCAGAGGACAAAGGGAACTCATGGAGATGGTGAAAAACATGCCGGAATCGTCCTACGAGTTGTCCCTCAAAGATCTGGTGGAGCATCATCATCGCCAATTAGTTCCCAGAATTATGGGAAGCCCAAAAGAAGAATCTTGCTTGCTGGATGATCATGATGATGAAGCTCGTGAGGAACAAGTTTTGAAGCAGAGACAGAGGTCAATAAGAAGGCAAGAGAGCAATAATAATGAGAAGAAAACGGCAAAATTTCTGCGGAGTGGGAGCTTGGTGGAAAACAGGGGATTGTTTCTGAAGATGGTTTTTCCTGTTTCTTTCAAATCAAGCAAGAAAAAGAATTTGGTGACTCAAAATAGTACTATTTCTTCCAGAGTTTCTCCTAAACCAGAGATTTCTTCATCAGATAAACCATCAAATTCCAGAAATTGCAGTGTAGATAAGGAATGGTGGAAGAAAAGATTTGCAGGATCAAGCGGAAGTGATATTACAAACAGTAGTAATAGTGGAAGCACCGGCAGTAGTGGTAGCAGCAGCAGCATCCATAGTCACAGCAGCAATGGCAGGTAACTGAAGTTTTTTTTTTTTTCCTAATTTATATTTTCAGCCTTTTCAAGTAATTAATTTCTAATTAGTTCGGTTAAATTATTGTTTTAATCGCGGAAATGGTATGTTAAAATTGTTGTATATAGTCAATTGCAATAAAAATAATGTAATTATAGGTGTAAAGAATAATCATTTTGACCAAATTACTAGATTTATCATATTTGTGAGAATGGCAGTGCTAAATGCTAAACCCTTTCCCCCTTTCTTTTGGGTGTGGTTTGTAAGTTTTAGTAATGGACAAGCACATAATTAAGATCATGAGAAAATAGTCCATTTTGTTACACAAATTTATTATTACGTTGTAAGGGGGAAATAGTTATTAGTAAGCGCTACATTTTGAGATGAAAACTAATTCATGTTTTTAGCATCGCATTAATTGATCTTGTTTTCTATATATCCGAAATTAAACATGTTTGTGATATATACAGTTTTAGTTTAACAAAATGTGCATAAATATATTAGAAAGTAGTCACCAAGGAAACACTATTCTGTAAACATATTTGCTTCCTTAGTATATATATTTAAAAAAAAATGTATTTTTTCTTTTGGGGCGCGAAATGATCACTACTCATTATGTTTGCTTATGCTGCAAAGTGCAAATTGAAAGGAAGTTATCTCGGAACTGAAAAGAAAACAATTGTAGGTGAACTTTCCTTTTAAAAAATAATACATATTGATACTTCCATAGTTCCATACCTGTCAATTCCACACTTGTACTTTCTTCTCTCGATCGTTTCTGTGTGGTAATGTAACTGGGGATTTGGATTTTCTTTTTCTTTTTTTTAAAGGTGTTAATTATATGGCAATATAATTGTGGATCTAGAGACATGATCCATGGGGGGAATATCCACACATAAGACAATATTCTATAATGATCATTTCGGTACCATTCTTTGTGTTCACGTATTGTTGGGTCAATTTGTGAAATCATTTTTTTGTGTTTGTTACTTGTGTTTGCTGTCACTGAAAAGAACAAAAAGCAAAGGACATTTGGCCTCAAAGAAAGAAGAGAAGCACATTTAGTTAAGACTCTTTTAATTTAATTTTTTTACTTTAAAACCCGAAAAATCTTACTTGAAAATGTAGAAAAAAGGTTATATATAGAAATTTGAAATTGTCAAAAAATAAACATTACAAACTAAGTTAAGAGATCAAAACTTGAACTAAATGGATTAAAGAAATTTTATTTTCACCTCAAAAATTAAGACCCGAAAGAATTTTTGTGGGCTAATCCCTTCCGGTTGTTCTCTTGGAAGGATGTGGCGTACACGGCAAGCATTTGATAAAGTACTATGAATTTTATTAGGGGAAGAAAAAAGAAAGCTCAATTCCTTTCTGAATGTAGAATACTTTAGATTAATTTTTTTATTACTTTATTTGTGACATTATTTTGAGATTGAAGGAGTATTATTTTTTATTCGACATGAGGTGTAAAAATTAAATAAATGTGTTTATGACAACTGACAAGAGGTGAAACATGTTAACTTAAACTAGCTAGTGAAATTATTGTTTCTTTGAATTTAATGCAGGAAGAAGATGGGATTCTTGAGAAGCTGCTTTTCTTGCTTTTATGGTACAAGAAGTCAAGCAGACTGAAATGGGAAGTACCATTTTGGTATAGTAAAGGGACTTTCAAGTTCAAGTTATTGTAGACTTGTAGTTTATTCTATATAAAGTTATTGTAGTTTATAACAAAGATATATTTTCACGGGTAAATCTAGAGTTTATTATATGTTTATATTCTCGAAAATTTACAAAGAAATCATAATAACAATTTACTCTATCTACTAAAAAAATTTTGATGGTCGTGTACCCCTTCTTTTGTTATCGATCCAAAACCTTGACCAGTCGATCAACAAATCACCTCAAAAGAAAAAACAAAGAAAAGGCACATATTCCATTATATGCATATACCATAAATTTCTTTCTGATTGCTTAATTAGCTTGATTTCATAACGCAGTTATCAAATAAAAAACTTTATTCACGCTCTAAAGAATGAGCTTACAAGCACAGCATTACAATTTGCAAAGATTGACAATTGTTTTGGGATAATGCCAATGATGTGATCCGAGAAAGGCCATTAAGTGTAATTTCATCATTATATCAATTATGTTCATATGATGGTTGATTTTAATCTTTGTTACGTTGGAATTAAAGGTGATGGAAGGTTGAAAACTAAATTCGAGGAATTTGAACAAAAAGAAGTTTGACGGCATGTGTCTAAATCTGAGAAGCCGATGGAAAAATCGATGACAAAATTCTTATTTATTATTTTCTTCATGAAAATCCAGGGCAGTACTTGGCGGGAGGACTCCAATTTTATTAATATAAAAAGAAAACTACAAAGGACTATCTAAACTATAACAAAAAAAAACCCGTCTTACAGAAGTTTTTCTAAAAAATTTCATGACGGTTCTGATGCATGTTATCACTAAGAAACTTTTTTACAAACATCCCCTAGAATGCCATAAAAGTTCTTTTCTTGAAAAAAAAGAAGAAGAAATATTAGAGACCTAAGCATGTCGTATAAGAGTTTGTCTTACAAAGATTTGTCTAAAAATCTCATGAAAGCTTTGTTTCCGACTCTACCTATCTAACACGAAGGTTTGGAAATAATATCTGATCTATACATAAAATACCTCGTAGTGACAGTTGGGAGGTAAAGCAAACTATCATATTCTAGTGATTGATCCTTTGAAGTTTGCTTTGATAGTCCATTTGCCATGACATTTATAACTCAAAAAATATATTAAATTTTAAAATTAGTAAGATTCAAAATACTTTGGATTTGGCTCAAACATGCGTGATGTTTCCAAGGGGTTGTTTGACATTATTTAGTAGTTATACCACAGTTTGCACCTTAACCTTTTATATCTTTTTTTCTTTTGTCTATTTAAAACCACGAAATATTCCTTCTATTCTGTTACGATACTGATATTTTCTCCAATATAGTATTCCCTTTGTTCCAAAATAATTTTTCAATTTAGATTTTCACTTTAACACAATTTGTATTTCAAATAAACATCCACCAAGCATTTTTAGTACTTATAGTGCTCATTTGCATTTTTTTTTTTACAACCAATGCAAACAAAACACTGGAAAGAAATATGAAGGAAACTTCAATTTTTGTTTCTTTTTAGATTCCTTAATTCTCTTATCTTTATGTTCTTTTTATTAAAATTAAATCAATTTCATAAATTATTCAGTTAGTTATTCCATTCGTATTTATATTCCCAAATTTATCATCTTTTTTCTTGATTCACCATTCATACTCCAGTAAACATTTTGAAGAAAATTCAAAAGGGAAAAGGAGATAATTCTGAAAAAAAAAAATACCCTCACTTTTTTCCCCTTAAGGGCGTTTGAGTTATCCTCTTTGATTAATCAATTTGAGGATTTTGAAACTCGAAATCATGAGTGTTTGATTTTTATTTTTTATTTTAAATTATATTTCCCCCCAGTGAAAATAAAATTGTAGAATTTGTTGTTAGATGGAGATTTGGAAGACCAACCTTGAAAGTAAGTTTGCGAGTTTGGCCGCGAATGATTCTAATAGTAATTGAAATACAGATGGATTGTTTCAAGTTATGAAAGCTAGGGAATCTGTAGAGGACACCATTAAACAACAGGTTATTTATTTGTTCAATACATTGTTCCTGAAATATAATTTTGTCAAATTTTTTTAATTTAATTTAATTCAAGTGCTACAACATTTAATTAATTTTCTCTATTTCAATTTTTAACATCATTAGCCCTGAACTTCTAGAATTCATGTTTATGGAGATTTTTATAGTTTTAAATAGTTAAGAGCATGTATTAGAAGTAAGAGTGTGTAGCGAAGATGATTATTTGAAAACATATTTGGTTGTAGTAGGTTTTATGGTTATATTTGTGAGGTTTATATTGTCGAAACTTCCCACTTTACGAGTCTCACAGATTTGGTTTTTTGTTATCTCTGCTTCTATTAAGGAATTAGAACGATACATAACTATTCCGAATTACTTTTTTTTCTATTGTTGTTTTCACAAGCGTTATTATAAGGTGTGTATAGTATTGGTGTATGGTTGATCATATCTCATTCTAATTTGTTTGGGATGGATTTATATTTCTCAAACTATAAGGAGAGATTATTTACTCCATGGCCCTAGCATATTAAAAGCTTACATCAAAGCAAAAGGGTTACATGTCATGTGGGGTGGTTATTGACAAACATTAGTTTTATACTGGATAATGAGCCAAAAGGAGTCCAAAGAGAAAATCTTGCTGATTGTTGTTACTTCAGGTCATTATGGGTTATTTTATTTGTCCTCTACCAGTTCAGATGTCAATGCATGAATTGATGCATATAAGTAACAAAATAAAAGTATTAAAAGACATGCAATTGATAATGGTCCAGATCAATTGTCCACCCTGCCACTTGAAACTACGGTTCCTCAAACCTTAACAATGCTTCTCTTAATTTAATTGACGAGTATATTTCACAACACTTTACTGATTTCCTTCGACGGATAAAAAATAGACCTTTACGTAGTTCCATTCATGGTGAAAATCATGCCTATCACATTGGGATTCTACATGATCATTAATTAACTTTGTAAAACACATGTTGTTCCATCATTAAGTCGGTTATCAAAAACAACTAAATTGACGTGGAAACAATTCAAGATGATAATGAGGAAGATGGATAAACTCAACAGAGTTTCCTAGCAAGTCTAAGATCCACTATCCAACATTTGAGATCTTATAACAAGGTCTGTGAAGAAGCAAATGATTCAATCACTCTTCACATTCATTCATAATGTTCAATCGTAACATTAATCTCAAATAGTGGTAATAAGAATTGGAGTAATAGTGGTCGAAAAAATTATGTAAGATGGTTTCTTTTTGACTTGGGTGAATCTTTAGCACTGACCTTTGTACTTTTGTTTTTAAAATTAATAAAATCGGAGTCCTCCCTCCAAGTGCCGTCCTGGATTTCCCTAAGGAAAAAAAAAGACTTGGAGTACGTGTTTACAATTATAAAGTATTCAGTCATTGTATTGTATGTCAAGAAAATACCTATTAGTTTTGAATTTGGCACAAAAAGGTAATAATAGTGTACCAAGTAGACACACGAGGAAGTTCAGTCGTCACCAAGCTCGGGCAAAGCCATAGCAATGACTTTAAAGGTATGACTCCTTTTTGCTAACACATGGATTTCTGACACATGGATCAGGCGGACCATTTGATATCACATGGATTTCTGAGTATGACTCCTTTTTCTCTATTGATATGTGTATGATTTTAAATCTTATCATCTTTCACCCAACTTGATTGTTGGTATTTTCTGTTATTTCTTATAGGAATTGGGAGAATATATGTATTCTCGATGTAGAGGCTGGTAACAAGTTAATTAAGGAAATTATCTTTTAGGCCTTACTTTGCAATCGACGTCTAGAAATGCGATATCAACGCACTAGTTGATATATGAATGGTGTGTTATATAAAACTCTTTTCTGTTTTACATGTGTTTGCATAAGAAAGAATACTTGTATCTACTTTTGTCTAATGCAGACTTTTTAATTTATTTTTGGTGCGTTAAATTTTCTTCATAGGCTACGATGGAGTACTTCAACAGCCCGTCTACTGGGATGACATTGACGAGGTGATTGATGAGGAGTTCTCCCATTTGAGAGAGTTATATCTCCAAAACAATTCACCTGGACCTCGACAAAACAATCCACTTGGACTTGGACAAAAATAATTAAGTGTGATCCTTTCAAGTACTTTAGAATGACATTTTTGCCTCAACCCTTAGATGTTATTCATTTGTTTTCTTTAACCATTTTCTGAATTACAATGTGTTTGTGTTTAATGTTGACTTTTGAACATAATTTGCTTCTGCAACTATGCAAAATATTCACTTTGCTGCCATTCGATGATTGTTGCCATTAATTCTTGTGTACGCTAGCAGTTCATGTAGTAAGTAAAGTGACATCTTTCTAGATAAAGTGAGAAAAAGAATATCCTCAAATAATATGGTACCTTGTATTAGGTTTGTGGTATGTCCTAGATGTATTCATTGAAAACACAAAGTTTGTGGAGCATTAGAGATGCTGCTTTTGTGGTTTGGATTACTTGGGTAACAGGGGTTAGCACGTTTTATTATTATTTTTTTGAGTGTCTCGAAGCATTGGGACATCCACTCTATCCAATTTTTTTTTGAAATGTCCCTTTTTTATTTTGTGTATCTTTGTGTACTATGTGTGTTGTGTGTTTTGTGGGGTAGGAGTGGTTTAAATTTTAAAACCTCTTTATGTATCTCATTTGAAGGTTAAACTAAATCATTGTCATTTTATTTATTTTCTTAATACAATTGCCAGTTTTACCACCATACATCCACACACATCTAAAACGTGTCAATCCCGTCACAACCACTTTTCGGACATTTGAGCTCATTTGCAATTTTGTATTTCAAATAAATATCCACCGAGCACTTTTAGTACTCATTTGCATACTTTTAACAACCAATGTAAACAAAACATTGGGGGAAACATGAAGGAAACTTCAATTTCCATTTCCTTTTAGATCCCTTAACTCTCTAATATCTTTTCTTATTAACATTAAATCAATTTCATAAATATCCAATCAATTATTCCATTAGTATTATATTTCCAAGTTTATCCTCTTTTTCCTCAATTCACCAATCATACTCCAGTAAACATTTTGAAGAAAATTCAAAAGGGGAAATGAAATAATTTTTTTTAATAAAAAAACGCTCACTTTTTTCCCCTTTTCCTGTGGGTCTTTTGAGTTAT